AATATCAAGGGGTTTGTTTAAAAAAGTGAGTTGATTTGTTATAHYRAAATGTCTCCTGGGTGAGGAAAAATACATGCACACATTTTTAACATTAATTGACAAAAGATTATCTTGAAGCCAACCATGTAATGTCTGAAGATCTGCTTGTAACTGACTATTAATAGATTCAATATTGAAATCAGACAAAAAAAAAGAACAGTATCATCAGCATACATTAAAATATTTGAATACCTCAATATTTTTGGAAGGTCATTTATGTATAATAGGAAAAGCAATGGGCCCAGTATGCTACCCTGCAGAACTCCCACGGAACAGGGCGGAGACCCAGACACAGAACTTCCATGTTTCACAACCTGACACCTATCAGTCAAATAAGAGGAAAACATTTGTATTGCAGATGATGARAGTTGAAAAGAAATCAACTTTTGTAAGAGAGTATAATGATCAACTGTGTCAAACGCTTTACGAAAATCAATATATAATTTTCATTTCACAGTTTTAAACTGAGATGTTTAGATCCCGTGTTAGATCACAGATTATGTGTTGGGGCTGAAGCTCTGCTACTACACTACATTTTAGCTCGAATTAGGTAATTAAAAAAATAACACAAGTTAGAGTCGTTTTTGCTAAAGCTGATTAGCTGTGGTGGCCGTCGGAATTTGTGGTGAGTTGATCAGTTGGATGTGCATCAAATGGTTACTTAAAGTTTTATTAAAATCTGTCCAGCAGTTTGAGACCTTTTGCTAACACACAATCAGATTTGAAGCCAACACTTAATGCCAAAGTTTCAGGCAACAGTATTTTGCGGTGTGTAACACTCTATGTGCATGTTTGGGACGATACTCAACTACTTCTATAATGTACATAAGTAAAGGTTGAAATATAGTGAAAGAAATGTGTTCATTTGAAAGCATGAATTATACACAGGAAACTGTTCAGAGTTAAACTTGATTATTTAATTGCACATGCAAGGATTGGCACAACCTTTCAGTATTGGGCCACTCACACAGAACCATCCCTGGCTACGAGGTCCGAGCACATAGCCTCAAGCCACATGTCACAATATGTTTTGTTTAAAGGGATCCCTGATTAGTTGTAACATTAGATTTTATTTGATAAACATATATTTTAACTGTAAAATAAAGACTGTAAAAATACTGTAGGCTGTTTAGTTAGTCCTCACAAGGATAGAGAGACATAGTGTCTGTGTGTGTGGATGGGTTTTTCCAACAACGTGGGGACAATTTTCCCAAAAAAAGCAGCCTCGTGGAGACCGAAGTGCATCGTGGGGACCTGACATCGGTCTCCATGGGTCCAAATGCGAATTACAGGTGTGGGATTAGGTTTAGGACCAAGGTTTAGGTTATTTTTAGGGTCAGATGGGTACCTGTGAAGTTAATTTTAGAGTATATGGTCAGGGTTAGGATATAAATTCTAAAAAACATGAATGGAAGTCAATGCACAGTCCCCATGGGGTTCAAGAATAAACGTGTATGGGTGTGTGTGTGTGCATAAAGTGCATTCAAGACTAAATAGAAATCAATATAATATGTTACAATAGCCATATTTTTGTTTGCAAAGGTCACCCAACAGAGACGGCCATCCTAAAAAATGTAAACATTTTAAAAAAGGCTTTAAGCATCATAATAAACTGTGCACTTCAGAACATTTATGTAATATCCTAAAGAAACTGTATTTTGCTTTTGAGCATTTCCTAATTTGTGTGATGATTCCTTCTCTGCAGCATCCTTGCATCACCCTTGGACAGTACCGAAAAGAAGGGTCTTCAGGTGGGGGTTCAGCTTCCGGCCAGTGTCCAGTCAGGGCCTCAGCAGCAGAACCAGCTCCTCTTGACTCCAGCGAGTCTCCAGCTCGCTCACCTCCAGGCCCAGCTTACACTCCAACGTCTCAAATTGGCTCAGGGAGGCGGCGGTGCCACCGCTGCCAGTGTTCTCAACCAGTTCCTCTCCAATGTGAACATGTCCCAGCCGCTGTTAAATCAGCTACGAACTTCGGCGATGGTTGGGAATCCGCAGGGTGCCTTCCCCGCTGGAGTGATGGGTTTCCCCTCTTCACATTCTGCCATGGGAGCCATAGTGGGTGGTGGGTTCAACCAAAACCCAGGGAATGTTGGACTGAATCATCCCAGTGGAGCGGGAACAAAGGTCCAACAGGGTGGAAAGTCTGGGTCAACATATCCTCCTGACACTGACAGAAGACTTCAGTTCAACTTAGCTGGAGGGACATCTGTTGATGGACAGCTCAATAAAAACATGAGCAATGCTGGTTTTCAGAGAGATCTGTATGGGCAGAGTATGTCGGGACAACCATCTGGGTTTCCTACCAATGAACAAATGAGTGCTTGTAACTCTGCTCACAAGGAACAATGGCAAGGCCCCACTAACCTAACACCAACTGGAAATATGGATATGGTAACCAACCCTCCTACAGTGTGGACTAAAGCTGTCCAGCCCATGTGGTCCAGAACAGAAGTGTATAACCCAGAAGAGCCAACCTCTGAGGCCAAGTCAAACTGCAACCTTGGGCTTCCCTCTTTTGGTTCAAGCGGCACGCAGGGGTTTGGAAATTATCAGTGTGAGGAGACGTTACCTTCAGGTAGCAGGACACTTCAGCCCTATCAAGTCAATGATTATTATGGTGTCACACCTGATGAGCTACCACACCAGTGTAGCATCTGTGACAAAAAAGTCTATAACCTGAAGGTAAGTAAATTCATCAAGATAAATGCATGACGTTGAACTTATTGGACAATGCACATTAATAAACATTACTCTGTGCTAGTTAGCTACAGGGCAAATGTTACAAGGTCACGTTTACAACAAATGAGCAAACAAAATTTCTAACAATTAATTAAAATGTTTATGTAAATTACATGTCTTCTACAGACATTTGAATGTTACACTCATAACATATGGATGGATCAGCGTAATGTAAAAACTTACGTTGTGGAAATCTTCGTATATGAAATGAAGACTTGATTATTACATAAAACAACTTTTTTATAATAAATAGTATGCACCTTTAAATATGATAGTTTAAACTCAAATAAAAAAATAAGCTTTTCTTTTTTAAAAGTGCAATGTTCTGAGATCTGAAGTATATGGCTGAAGTGTTGAAGAAGTGTAAAGTGATTTTTTTTAGTGAAAACAAGCAGAACAAAGATGAGCAAAACACAAGATGAAGTTATTATCAGCACAATTGTAACTAAAAGGTAATATCAACCAAACCATGGTTTAAATCTAAAACTATAATCTAATAATAAACAATAGCTATGTAAAAGCTAAATATAACAAAGTAATGTCTAAAAGCAAAAATTTGATAAAAGTGGAAATTAGTGAATTACTGCTAAATTTAACTAGACACTAGTTTAACGCTAAACATAGCAAAACAAACGCAAAAAAAAGTCAAAGGATACATAAATACAAAGTTGTTGGTTAACTAGGTACAAATACTTTGTTACTCTATTAAGGTAGAATATTTTGGTTATCTGTAAATTACTTGAGTAATTATTTTTCATATTTTTACTTTCTACTCTTTACATTTTCACACAATTATCTGTACTTTTAAGTCCTTACATTTTTTAAAGAGGCGAGAAGTAGAAAGTCATTATTTTTATTTCATTTTTGCTTGTTTTCATTTTGGCTTGTTATTGTATGAAAGTGAATTTAATTGTGGTGGAATAAGAAATAGAAATACATACAATTCAGACACCATATTAGTTTGTACACAATCTATTACAATAGCTTGTGGCACAAATTATGTCACATTCTAGCAGGACGTAGCAGACATATGT